GCCAATGTCGGACTAGGCTGGAAAAGATGGCAGAGCCAAATGGGTGCCAGACAAACTGCCAGTGGCACTGCCATTGCCAATGGCAGACTAGGCTGGTAGATATAGCAGACTGGGATGGCAGAGATGACAGAGCCAAGTGGGTGACATTTAATTGTCCACTCTAACTTGCGTTGCAAACTCCTTTCACTTCCGTTCGCGTCAAATTGTTTTTTTAAAAATAAATATATACAAAATATTTAACTGGTGAAATTTTGATAATCTAATCATCTCTCGCCCGGCGGGAGACGGGCTTATACGCTAGTTCGTTATATATAGTTTATCCCATCACGTTCACTTTGTCTCATATATTTTTTAACAAAGTTAATTAAATTACAGAGACTGCTTATAATGTCGAGATCGAGTTCTCAAGAAACGGAAATCGTGAATGACGGGGCAAGGGGCGTTAAGGGATTTGAAAATCCAAATGCACGCAAGGAGGATTTCTTTGGTCATTGTCAAAAGTAAGAGGTTTGTAATAAATTTGATATTTTGGCAATTTCCATTTCAGCAACTTGCAAATTCCTTGTTGTCCGGAAACAGCGCGAAGATCTGTATAGATTTTACCAATTTGTGAGGGAAGAGGACGGGATTTTAACCGTTAGGAACTTTAAGGGTGAAGAACAGGAATTGACGGGGGTTGATGAAAAAGTCTACATTTGTAGCAGATTGCCGAAGGGTCAACAAGTTTACATTATTGACGAAGATACTCTATACGAAAGAAAGTCTTTTGTTTTAAACGAATTTGTGTAAGTTGGTCATTAAGCTCCAAATATTGTAGCATTCCTTTCCTGGTTATGTGACAAAAATTCAAATTGCGGTCAGGTTTACGGGATTTGAAAGCCAAATTCAGCTTGGGGGCCCCTCACATCATCTGATTTGGTCACTTGCACTCCACGAGGATCAAGTACGTGTGCTCGAGAATAGGAGATTTTTGAGCCGCTACAACTGTGTCGTGCCAAAACGGAGGAGGAGGGATACTGATGAACAGGAGATAAGGTAGGGGATTTTAATTTATATCCTGTGGAAAATGTTTTTTTTTTTGTAGTAATAATGAACATTTTTAAATCAATTTCGCTTAGGCTGCTGTCGCCACAAGAAGGAAGGTCACCCAGTATGGCCAGACAATTGATAGAAACAGTCCCGAAACGAGTGTTCAACGAGCCATGTTACAACATAACACGTATCGCGCCAGTGCCGGCTCAGTTTTTGATCCCAGTCGCCCCAGAGCCTCATCATCATCATTATCAGCAGCAGCAGCAGTAACAACAACAACAACATCCGAGGGGAGAGGAAGAGGAAATGTCAATAGCAGCAGGGGACAACAGACACAACAGGGATCAAGGGGCGGTGGTGGTCGTGGATCCAGCAGCACCCGCACCAACTGTGGATTTGGGAACTAACTCGCGCCAAAAACCTTACTATTGTCAACTATGCTGCCGCTACAAGAATAATTGTTTGAAATGTGACTGCTCCGCTAATACTTTTATCTGCTGCTCTTGTCTCATAAAGGACATTTTCATTGGGCATCGGTTCAAGTGTCCACTTTGTCAATCCCTTGAACTCTTTAATCATATGGAACTAGTGTGTTATACCAGTATTGACGAGACTGGGTATTTAGTTTAGATTAATTTCTTGAATGTAGAGGTTTAATCAAAAATTTATATTAATTTTTCAAAAAAAAAACAGTTAATACTATCCCATCCAGCTGTAGCCATCTATTAATAAGTCGAATCTTTCTTTGTTAGTGCTATTTATATCACGTTAAAAAAATAATGTTATGAAATAGTTTTGTTGTTCATGCTATCAAAAAATGTCGAATTGTTAAAACATGAAAATTTAATGCAATAAATATGGATTTTTTATACCATCAAGCATAACTATTCATACAAAACTTCATTACCATACTGCCCATTTGAAAGTATATTGCGCCCCAAAGTTGATTACATCGCGGCTTCTGTTGTTGGATATCACTATATATAGATCATCTTCTTTGATTGGAGGTGCAAGGGCTGAACAGGTGCCTAGGTTGTTGCTAAAACAGATAATATTTGTCTTGTTTGATTTCGTATGGGGTGAAATTCAATTTTTTTGCTTAGTACCCTTATTGCATGGATTAATCTTGAATGATTCCCAGTTATGTTGACAGGATTTTTTATATTATGCTATGATATAATGCTCGTATTATACGAAATTAGCAAAAGCAAACCTTATGCAAACCTCTTATGCTTACCCATGAATTGAATGACTATGACATTACTCTATCATCGAATATTATGTTTCATGCATCGCAAATCACTTTGGATAAGACATTATCCATCCACTAATCAGTATTATTAAAATGTATGTTAGTGTACTAAAGGGGAAAGAATATTTTCTTGCATGGCCCGATTTGCGCCCACCGCACACGGTCAAGTTCACGAAAAATCACTGCTTTCCCTCTTCAAACCACGATGGAAAAGCAATTTTTACTCGAATTTTAGTGCTTTGTTGATTGCAGATGGTTGCTTTGATACCTAAAGATCATCCACTAACGAATTGGACTTTCCGGTAAAAGGCGCGCTAGGCGGCATTAAATTTCGAAAAAACTATTTTTGAATAGACCAAGTTATAAGCATTCCATTGATACATGTCAACAATTATAGAGTCATGGCTAAGAATAGAACAATTTGGGTTGAAAGGCAAGAGTAGAAAAAAAGTGATTGAGTTTCACAAAAATCGAACAAACTAAAATCTCTAAAATCACTTGGCACTTTTTCAAGCAAGAAGATATTCCTCATTCAAATGTTAAGTTACTCTTACGTAAAAAAGTACGGGGAATCCAATGACGTCAAACTCAAAGTCCCAACTGGTCGACCTGTAAAGCTACCGACGACAAAAGTCAAAAATAATCAGATAAAAAAAATATTCAAAAATTATCCATCAACGACAATGGCAGGAGCGGAAAGGAAGGTCAACATTTCAAAAAGCTATATAGGCAAAATCAAAGCCCACAAACTCGGGATTGTAGCCGGGGAAAAAAAACCAGCACCAAATTACAAACCAACACAAAATGATAATTGATATGTGATGCAAGAAATAGTTGAAGAAAATTCGGGGGAACGTGGTCATCATGGACGATGAGCACCATGTCACAGCTGACCCTTTAAATCTTCCAGGCATTTTTTCCATAGCCATAGAGTCCAAAAGAAAGACCAATTCACAAAAAAAACGAAGAATTTGGCAAAGCATGTCTAGCATTGGTCATGTTTCCGATCCCGTTATTTTGGAGGGCATTGTAAACCACGGAGTTTATCTTAAATCATGCATTAAAGGGGGATTGGAATCGTTTATTACCAAGGATCATAAAAAATAAAGTTTTGCTTTGGCCTGACCTCGCAAGGTCCCATGACACCAAAAAGGTCACTCATTACCGACATCTGAAAAAAATTGAATTTGTGCCAAAAAATGGAAACCCACCAAATTTTCCTCAACTGGGACCAGTTGAGAAATTATTAGCGCTGACCAAGTCCAAATATTCTAAGCTTTCGGAAACGCCAAACAGCTTATGAAAATTTAAGAACAGATGGAAGAAAATCAACTTGAAAGTTGGTGCAGTCTATGGGCGGAATTTGACGCGAAATCGGAAGAAGAAACTACAATCTGTAGCAGACAGCGGAATTGAATCATTAAAATTGGAACTGCATGGCAATCCAAACCCTTTAGTAGTAAGCATATGTAACTTTTTTGAAATTGCATAAACTGTGTAAAAAATTCTGCACAATTTATTTCGTCAGTCCAACTCGTTAGTGGATGATGTTTAATATCAAGTTTGACTTTGAAATATTTTTAAGACATACTAATTTTCAAATAGATAACTTGAAATTTAGTATAATATAAGAATCATATTAGTACTAGGTACACTGGTTTTTTATGATTATGATCAATCTTGACTATTTGGTAATTATGTCAAACGGTAAAATGTAGAAAGCTCTGGTTATTATGGTAAGTGGAATTTATACAATAAATCTTATGCCGCAAGTGTGTTATGCAAAAGTGTTTTACGCAATTCCACATGGAACGTTTGATTGAATCCGAGTTTTATTTTTTGTTGGGAAATTAAATTAATTAATCTGTATTTCATGTCAAGGTACTACAATAATTTCATGTGGTACACTAATTTTTGTCTATTTTTGTACGTTACTTTGTAAAAAAGTCGATTTATTTGTAAAGAGCATGTAGATTTTTCTTTAAAAAGGAGAATGCCCATTCCCTTGAATCCTCTGGTAAAGCATCAACACTGGCAAAAAGAATTTCGGGATCATTGTCAGCAAAAGTGGTGGTGGTGGTGGAAACCTAAATTAGAGTTGTTTTAGGTTTTGTTGGTTAGATTAGGCAAGGTAAAAAAAATGATTAAGGGCTAAATAATATTGTAAATCTAAACAATAAAATGTAAAAAGAAATATAAACTCACTAGCTTATAAGCCCGTCTCCCGTCGGGCGAGCGAGAATTATAAGCTGCAAATGTCTGCCGGCAACGAAATAAAAGCAAATGTTCCGCAACGGAAGTGAAAGTAAAGACAGTCAAGTTTCTGACAACCACTCTAAGATAAGCAACCCCCTCTAATCCCCAAGATAACCACCATCAGACAACCACTCCGAGATAACCCCCCCCCAAAAAAAAAGATTACTACCATCAGGCAACCATTCCCAGATAACCACCATCAGATAACTCCCATCAGACAACCACTCGCAGATAACCACCATCAGACAATCACTCAGAGATAAGCCCCCCAAAGATAACTACCATCAGACAACCATAAACAGTTTATGACATGACACGACAATCTTGTGCAGTGCAAACATGTGCACACTGCAGGAAACTGTTGGTGCAGCGGTATCGGTATGCACTGCACTGGCTGTCATCTGAGAGTGGTTATCATGGATTATCTGCGGGTTTTCAGATAGTGATTATCTGATGGAGATTATCTTGTATTGTTATTTAGTTGTCGTAAATGAACAATAATTTTGGCGAATTTCAGGGCATCCGGCTGCTTCTCGCATCCGTCTGATGATGATGACGACGCTGAGGGTAGAGGCCGTGTAAACAACCGATCCTGTGTGGACACCTGTCGGTGGCGGTCGCCTTCGTATGTAGTACAAATTAATCCAAGCTGCTGGGCATCACAATTGTACTGTTGTGTGTTTGTGCAAAAACAGAAAAGAGTCAATCATTGCTTGGTTATATATGTTATAGGTTAGTTATCCAACCTTTCTAGCACATGTTTTAAAAAATTCTCCAATATTATCCACCCTAGACCACCCTTGAAACTTGGATACGTATTCAAGCGCTTTATCCAGGGGGTCTTCGCAATCATCTAAGCCTTGCTCTCGGTCAGCAAAAGGAATTTCTGGGTCCTCTGATGTTGATTTGCTGTACTCTTCCGTCACATGATTTGTCTCTGGAGCTTTAACTAGTATTGGTCTGACTAATGATTCGGCACCATCCTCGTCTTTGTCATCGTCATCATCGGACAGTGTCACAACTGGTATTTGTTTTTTTTCGCGTCCCGTTAAAATGGCGCACAGTTCACGGAATTGTACTCGGTAGTCAAAACTGCTTCTACCACCCTTTAAAAATTGCCCAAGGGTCAAAAATTTTGCCCATTGTGAAGGATTGCACCTCAGGGCACGAAGCTTTGTCTTGATTTGAGTGATTGTTCTTGCTTCTAACCCCTAATTTATCATTATTACCTTTATTATTATTATTAACCTTAATAATCGTACGTATTATTCTGGATTTCTTTTTCTACCTGAATTTGTGACAATGTGGCAAAATCAATCTTGTTCATTTCTGCATACAAGAGTCCCAATCTAGACAGCTCGTTTGACAAACGAGCTCCTTTCTTGTCCATTTCTGTGTTGTGATGTTCCCCCGGCTGAGAGGCCTTGAATCCAAGTTGTGCTGGAGGGGGCTGCTCCCATGATCTAATCTAATTGGTTTAATCGCCTGCGGCGGCGGCGGCGGCGGAGGAGGAGCAGGAGGTAGCTGCTTCCTCGTGGTTAATCCTACTCTCTCCCGCTCGACTCTTGCCGTCAGGATGGATCGTAGAATCAAATACGGTCTGGTTTCATTGTGCTTTACCGACAATAGTTGATCCAATGTCATATATCTGGACCACATTAGAGGGTTCTCCCGCAATGTTGTAATTTTTTTCTTTATTTGGATCGGGGATCGGTTTGACAAAAACTACAAAAATTGAATTAAACAATTGTATCACAATAGTAAAATATATACATGTTTGAGTGCGTTTTACCTTGTTGTTGGCAAAGGGGCTAATGTCAATCTCACTTGTGGGTGCAAAGAGTCGCCCCTGATTGAGCAGCTCCTTTGTCAAAGCCTGTGTCTCGCTAAAACTCCAAATTTGCCTACCCGCCATTTCACCCAACTCTAGTATTCTGTATTATTATCTAGTTCAGTTTTATTATACGTCAATGGTAGTAGCCACCATCCTGATGACACAATCTCATTACCAAATTTAACACTCTTACTCTGTCCAGGTACCGAAAAATGAGGGAATGGACAGAGGTTAAATTTTGTATTTGTTCGCATGTGCTGGGACAAGAGGGACATGAATGTAGGGGTGCATAGGGGCGACTACGATGACGACGACGATGGCGACGAGGTGTGATTTTTTTAACTTTGCATTTAGTTTAATTTGCACTTTATTTGATCGTTGGTGTCACATCAGCACACACACAGTTTGGGCAGTGTGCACATGTTTGCACTGAACCAGATCGTCGTGTCACGCCACAAGCTGATTGTTTAGTGTGCACATGGTTGCACTAAACAAGATTTTCGGGTCATCTCATCAACTGTTTGTTTTTAGTATGCACATGTTTGCACTAAACAAGATCACCATGTAGGGTCATGAAGATCTTGTTTAGTGCAAACATGTGCACACTAAACAAGATCACCATGTAGGGTCATGAAGATCTTGTTTAGTGCAAACATGTGCACACTAAACAAGATCACCATGTAGGGTCATGAAGATCTTGTTTAGTGCAAACATGTGCACACTAAACAAAATCTTCATGACTCTACATGGTGATCTTGTTTAGTGTGCACATGTTTGCACTAAACAAGATCTTCGTGTCATGTTAGACACAGTGTGTTTAGTGTGCACATGTTTCGACGTACCATGTCAGGGGTTGTTTTGCTCATATTATGTTTGGGCAACTGATGGCACAGCACAATGTCCATGAGTAGTATCAGATCTGGAATTCCTGTGCGCACAGAGTATGGGCTGCTTTATTGTGATTTTCTGCGTTATCTGATTAGTATGGCCAGTATGCAACCTCGAGCAAAATTTAGCTCCGGCGGTTGTAACCCTACGATGCTACTAGGGTGGATCGAAGCGAGCGCGTGATGTAGCGAGGTGGTATTTACGCCTACAGTGTTGATCAAGACAAAAGCCAAGTTGTCTCTCTGTGGCATTCTTCCCAAGAGTTTTTAATATGATGTGCGTAGATCAGAAAGAAGTACGCGTGGCCAAATTGGCTGGGGATGGATAAATAACAAGTATTTACCCCTCAACGCCCTTCGATGCCCCAGTGTTGACATATCGAGATATGAAGGGGGTATGGACGCAACTCGCCACAGGCTGCTACTTTCGAGTTCCAGTTGAGTAAACCAGTACAAATCCTTATTTTACACTCATCACTCACACGGATTCTCAGCCATATCTAGCTGGTGCAAAACATTACCAAGATACGGAATATTGTTCGATTTGGGCGGATCGGTCAAAACCTATCGTCATTTATTTTGTTTCGTTGCTTCCATTCTATCGATCCTTCTTATCATGTCGAGCAAGCGTGGCAATAAGGTAATCTAGTTGCTTTCAATCACTGATTTTGTTTTTTAATACTCTCTGTCATCCATGTCATCGCTGTTATGTGACGACTATGTTTGATGATTGATCCATCTTTTCATTTTTAGCAACCAAAGTCAAGTTTAACACTAGGGGACACTAGGGCTTTCTACAAGCTTCTTTTTGGGAGATTAGATGAGTCCGGCATGATTGACCTTAATACAACGCTCCTCGAGTTTAAACGGGTTTGTGCGAGAAATAATGCAAATCTTCATCAAAGCTATGTTTATAAATATATTTTAATACTTTGGACAGTTATACTCTCCGGCTCAAGGCGTTACAGGCCTGTTGAGGGAAGAGTATGAAAAAAGACGACGGGAACATCCGAGTGTCTCAGAATTTCGGCAGTGGGCCATATTTCATGACTACCATACGGAAAACGTGGAACATGATTCTGATACGGAAGAGGACGGTACAAATAAAGATCAAAACACTGATCATGCAGATGAGTTGGCATCAAGAAAAATCTTTCACGATCGGACATTTTACTTTCTCAACTCGCAACTCAATGATGTCACTGTTGAACTTGCACGGGCTTGCTACAGACTCTTGAAGGTAAGCCTTTACCGGTAATGGTGGATGTTAAAAAAGGAACCTAACAATCTATATTATAAGCTGGAAATGTTTGTCTGCAACGGAAGTGAAAGTAATTTTCCACAACGGAAGTGAAAGTGGAGAAAGTTAAGTTTCGCATGGCGCGAAAATTCAAAAATTTTAATTTAAAACAAAATTATTTTTGATTTACAACCACTTCCAAATAACCAAACAGGATAATCAACATCAGATAACCACTCCCAGAGAAATATTCCCATTAGTCCGCCACCAGAGAGCCACTCCCGGATAAGCACCCCAAGATAACCAAGCTAAGAAAACCTCTCCCAGATAACAGCCCCAAGATAACCTCTCCCAGATAACCACCCCAAGATAACCAGTCAGATAACCACTGTCCGATAACCACTCCCAGATAACAGCCAGTGGAATGCATACCTAGCAGTTCCGTGCAGTGCCCACATGTTTGCACTAAACAAGATCGCCATGTCGGGTCATAGACTGTTTGTGTTTAGTCTGCACATGTTTGCACTAAACAAGATCGTCATGTCGGGTCATAGATTGTTTGTGTTTAGTGTGCACATATTTGCACTAAACAAGATCGTCATGTCGGGTCATAGACTGTTTGTGTTTAGTGTACACATGTTTGCACTAAACAATATCGCCATGTCGGGTCATAGACTGTTTGGGTTTAGTGTGCACATGTTTGCACTAAACAAGATCGTCATGTCGGGTCATAGACTGTTTGTGTTTAGTGTGCACATGTTTGCACTAAACAAGATCGTCATGTCGGGTCATAGACTGTTTGTGTTTAGTGTGCACATGTTTGCACTAAACAAGATCGTCATGTCGGGTCATAGATTGTTTGTGTTTAGTGTGCACATGTTTGCACTAAACAAGATCGTCATGTCGGGTCATAGACTGTTTGTGTTTAATGTGCACATGTTTGCACTAAACAAGATCGCCATGTCGAGTCTTAGACTGTTTGTGTTTAATGTGCACATGTTTGCACTGCACAAGATCATCGGGTGATGTCAGCACAGTCGACGAGTTGTGTCACGTCGACAGTGGGACCAATGTGCTGGGCTGTGCTGTGGGTACAGCACAGGGTCGACTGGTTGTGCCAGATCGGGACTGGGACGGTTATGCTGGGCTGTTCTGTACAGTGGTACAGTGACGTGACACAAGGCATCTCCAGTTGGTTGTCTGATAGTGGTTATCTGGGAATGGTTGTCTGACGATGGTTCTTTAGGGTTGGTTGTCCTGAGGGTTTGTCTACTAATAGTAATATTGGTTGTCTTGGCCAACCTTGTGAAGTGAGTTAAGTGAAGTTAAAGTTAAATGGAAGCCTCTTTTACTTCCATTGCGGAACATTTACTTTCACTGCCTTGCCAGTAGACATTTCCAGCTAATAGTATAGATACAATAAAAAAATTAGTTCGGTTGAATTATGCACAATCCCAGTCAATTTTCATGAAAATCAATTAAGCTCTCGCCCGGCGGGAGACGGGCTTATACGCTAGTAATTCTATATTAGAAACATGGTGGATTACTTTTAAACAAGAGTGAGGTGAAGGAAGCCCATGCATACGTCATTGGATTTGGTGAATTTAACTCCAAGATGGACAAGTTTTTGCACACTCATCAACACGACATTTACCTCCCAACTTTTATCTTTGCGTCAGTGGAGTCCGAATCCCTCTGCTACTTTGACGAACATGTCCTCATTACACGTTCAAACTGGATAAGAGGAGGTCAGGAATCTCGGACGAATTACATTCATTATAAAAAATATTTTTACATTCCTTTGCGCTCTTCATCATAGGTGGAATGCCCTACTTGGACACCATGTTGGATCCGGTGACTGGAGGCAGGATCCCAGCAGGGGCGCAACGGACTGAATTGATTGGAAGCAAATCCACCCAGACGGAGGTAAAAGAAAAAATATACGTAGAATGCAGAAATATACACGTGTACATGAAAATTTGTCAAGTGCAGATTGTCGAACCTACTCCAATCCCCAAAACGACATCCATGGAGACCACAATGGATTCCAATATTGGTGTTGCGGACATTGCAGTAAATACATCATCTGATGATCCATTGGTACCATTCCTATATACAAAATTTAAAAAATGGCCTACCAATGCTAAATCTCTACTAAATATCGATCAAAACCTTAATTATTATCAAGGAAAATAGAAGCCATGCAGATTTCAGAGTGAGTACTCCTTTGCTCGAGATAAAGGACAATAGTACGCAAACCGAGGTACCAAATCCATATATGTGTAGTGGAATATGAATATATAAAGTCATCAATTCCAGGTTACTGGGGTACTCGAGGCTGCAGCGGATAACCAAGTTGGACTAAATGATCTGGTATGTTTCACTCACATCTAGACTTTAACCTAACCAAATATTTCTCTCACAATGCA